CGGAGGCCGTCAAAATTGAATTGCGCCAGCGCTTCGAAGGGGCTTTAATCTAAAGGGCTTTAATATAAAGGCGTTTATATAAAGGGCTTTAATCTAAAGGGCTTTATTCTAAAGGGCTTCCAATCTAAAAAGCTTTAATCTAAAGGGCTTTAATCTAAAGGGCTTCCTAATCTAAAGGGCTTTAATCTAAAGAGCTTTATTTCTAAAGGGCTTTAAATCTAAAGGGCTTTAATATAAAGGGCTTTAATCTAAAGGGCTTTATTCTAAAGGGCTTGAATCTAAAGGGCTTTAATATAAAGGGCTTTATTCTAAAGGGTTTCAATAAAGGACGTTAATATAAAGGGCTTTATTCTAAAGGGCTTTAATATAAAGGGCTTTAATCTAAAGGGCTTTAATCTAAAGGGCTTTATTCTAAAGGGCTTTATTCTAAAGGGCTTTAATCTAAAGGGCTTTAATCTAAAGGGCTTTAATCTAAAGGGGCTTTAATCTAAAAAGGGCTTTTATTCTAAAGGGGTTTATAATATAGAAAAGGGCACACTAATATAAAAGGGCTTTAATCTAAAGGGCTTTTATTCTAAAAGGGCTTTAATATAAAGGGCCTTTATTCTAAAGGGTTTCCAATAAAGGACGTTAATATAAAGTGGGTTTTTATTCTTAAAGGGCTTTAATATAAAAGTATTAACTTAAAGGGCTTTAATCTAAAGGGTTCTTTTATTCTAAAGGGCTTTGTTAGGCTTCTAAGTGGTCTTAAATCTAAAGGGCTTTAATCTAAAGGGCTTTTAATCTACATAGGCTTTAATCTAAGAGGCTTTTAATCTCAAAAGGGCTTTATTCTAAAAGGGCTTTAATATAAAGGGGCTTTAATACAAAGGGCTTTAATCTGAAAAGGGCTTTATTCTAAAGGGCTTTAATATAAAGGGCTTTAATATAAAGGGCTTTAATCTAAAGGGCTTTATTCTAAAGGGCTTTAATCTAAAGGACGTTAATACAAAGGGCTTGTTATCTGAGTAGCTTATACTTTGAAAAGTGAAACCTTTTCCGTGTGATCCGGTTGTGTTGGATATCCGGGTGCTGGTCGAATTCCACGATATTTGATCGAAAGGATGTCATCATGCGATAGAGTTTCCTCTTTGCTGTAACCCCACAACTCGACCCGGATCTGTAATTGTAATGAAAAAACTCATTCAGCCCAAAGTATATCCCGGATACCGTAACCCGTAAACACGTAGTGATGCTACCGTAACCTAGCAATGCAATCTTCAGCTACTGTGAGTCCCTAGTGATTCCGAGTCTCCAGTGATTGGGATATGCTAGAATAACTGCGGCTTAATGCTTTTAGATGCGGCGATGCTTTAGATTCTCTAGTCTAGATTACTTTTAGACTAAGTATAAAGATTTATTTGAAATTTGCTACTGGTATAATGTAAGCTTTTAAAGAAGCCTTCCGAACTCACCCGACTATTACAACACCTCAGCCACCTTGCCTCGGCGCAACGATCGGCTAAAGCCTGGAAAGCCAAACATTAGTACGTTTAGAAGCTAATAAATATCTGATGCCTACGATATCTCACATTAACCATGATACTGTTGTGAGTCATCACTTTCCGCCTCGAACTTTGCACACAGTATAGCCTGGCACTCAACCCCGCTGTGCATGCGAACATTCAATGTGATCCTTGGGTTTACCTGAAAGCAGAAGAAATAGATGAAGAGCTGTACTCTTGTCTCTGCGATTTTCTTTGAGTCAGATCTAGACCGGGATCACTTCTTTGGAATCTTGGGCAGGGCTAGAACCAACATCAAGATCAGGATCAGCTCCAGTTTTTTTGGAGACCTGATTCCGGGTCAAGAACAATGCTAGAGCCAGCGCCAAGCTTTACTATTGGGGCTGCAAGACTTGGACCAGGATCAGAGCCAGGGTTGAGGTTCTAGGGTGGGACCAAGCCCAGGCAGGTGTCACAGTGAGAGCCAGTATAGCCTATGTGATCCTATAGCGTGAACTTGTAGTGTGGTAACAACACAAAATGCACACTTTCTGGCTGCACTTAAATCTCTCTTTATTCCAAAAGCACCCCCATCGAGTGGTATGCGGCAACCTCGGTTAAGCACAGATGCGGTTGATCGTGTTCACGACCGGATTGCTCGAACATCGAAGTCCGTAGAGGATCTCTTTCTTGGCACCATTCTGTAAACTCGATAAAGCTTTGTAAAGGGTTACAGTTGGGAATAGCGTGCCTTAAAGCATGCTTTAAAGTATGCTTTAAAGTAAGTCTTAAAGTAAGCCTTAAAGTATGCGTTAAAGTATGCCTCAACTACAGTACCCCAGTACTAATCTTCAGCTTTTAATTTCAAGGTAAATAAACTCGTTTAGCATTTCGTACTGTATAAATCAATTATCAGATATATTAGCAATGATCTAAACTTAGACATTCTCTTATATAGCTATAAATCTATGAATACCGTATGTTAATTAGATTTAAAGGAAAATATTGGATGAAGATATTGGATGAAGATATTGGATGAAGATATTGGATGAAGATATTGGATGAAGATATTGGATGAAGATATTGGATCAAAATATCGTACCTCAAATAACCACAAATCATTTATATCACCCTCGGATTTACACTCGTAGAAAGCGATGACCGCGTTTGCCCGCAACGATTTCTCTGTGATCATCTTCTTAAACAAACTTTTTGCATCCTAAATATTAGATATTTCATTTATATAGACGATCCTTAAGGGAAATAAATAATCACCTTTTATATACAAATTTCTTTTCCACTCTTTCTTGTCCACTCTTTCTTTTCCCACTCTTTCTTTTCCCATTCTCACCTCAAAAGACTTTCTTTGCCTCGATCCCACGTCGGCGTCAATAAAGATTCGGGGGTAACCGCTGAATAAAATTTGACATTTATTGACAATAAATTAAATAATTAAATAAATTAACTTTAAAATTAGATCTCTTAACTGAATATCTTTATTTTTCGCATTTTTCAATTAACCAAATCCGATTTCGGATACTTTCCGCGTAGTTGCCAAGAAGGGTTTCCTGTCTATGAATTGGATTTACCTAGGGTCGATTTTATTCTTCATTCATTTGCTAGCTTGAAGAGATTTCTCAAAAGGACACCTATTTCAAATAAACTATCGTAGTTCAACTGTTTAACTCAAATTTTAGACAAATTTGATGAGGGAATCACAAATCTCAGTGAATGTGATCAAAATTAGAGTTAATCAAATGAAAATATAAAATTGAAGAGTTGATTACAGTAATGGTGTCTAGATAGATGTTTTTCTTTTTTAGAAAATGAACTAAAAAGGAAATATTGTAAAGGGTTTATTCTCATAAGCAAGCTTTTATCAAGGCAAATCAGCTAACCCCTTTGCCTGGATATTTGGGTCATAAGCTGGCTGTTATAAGCGGGTCAGAAGCAATTTATAAGCTGGTCATAAGCTGGCTCGTGAAGGGAGTCATAAGCAAGTCATAGGCATGCCAGAAGCATACAAAGCTGAACTGACCTCTTCAAGATCAATATCCAAGAAATTCTTTGTCCCCAAAAAAGCTTGGTTTTACTGAAAACAAAATTTACATATCATATCAATGGGAATCTTCAAACTTGGCTCAAAGGTTTCCCAGTCATTCTTCAAACTCTTCGTTCTCGATTCGATCAACGACACGTAAATCTAGAGGTGTTTTTTTATAGATTTTTACTTTATAAATCTTAAAAGTATAAACCTGGTAAACTATATTTATCCGATTCTTTTAAACCCTTTCTTCCATACCGTCTTTCCTTCAATCCCTCAGTAATGTTCTTCTCCGAACAATCAGCACAATCATCATCGATATCGGCGAGGAAACCCTCCACGAACTTTCTAGTCACTTATTGCACTTTTGGCTCACATGGGCTGAGCACTGAAGGTGAAATCAATCACTGCACCCTAATCAATTCTTTTGCGTAAAAAACTCACAGCAACAACACTCTTCGATGCGTCGAGATAATGAATGACTGGGTAGGGAGTATCGAGGAGATCATACAGCTATATGCTTTTTAAGTTGTTGCTCCTCAAAATAGCCTCTTAAAATTGTTAGGAAAGGATTTGAGGAGGAGATTCAAATTATTACGAATTCTTTAAAACTCGATAAATTTATTTGTATGAATTCACAAACCTCAATCAACAAAGGAACCTTTAACCCTCGTCGATTAATTTCTTTTGCCACATGAACCATCTCATCAAGTGATGGATGATTAAATCAGATAAACCAATAAAATCTGAAACAAATTGCATAGGTTTATTCAGTTTAACAGTTTAACAATGCTAATTCCCATAAGTTTACCCTACCAGCTTTCTCGTCGATGGCCGTTTGAATAATCTTCTCACACGGTGTCATCACACCCCAAATCAATTACACCTAAATATAAAAACATTGAAATCCATGAGTTTTAAGGATGACTTCATACATAATACATAACTGTAAATACTGTAATACCTGTAATAGTACTTTACCCTCCATAATGACGGCGGAGCATCGCGTAGTCTAGCTTTGAACGAGTTTTTCTCGACACTGGTTTATGCTACAATGCACGCTTTGGTAAAAAAATAGCCAGCTATTTTTTCCAAAGATGCATTTTTCCCCAAATAAAAGCACTTTGAAAAAATGAAATACAAAAAACTTTAGTAACTTTTGCGGCTACGCGACTGTACAAGGGCAGGGAGATCCATTACGGTATTTACGGTACTATAAATAACAATATTTCACAGTCTCACCTTGAAATTATTACATCCAAGCACAACGGCAACGATATTCTTTCCAATATCATGCATATCACCCTTCACCGTTGCGGGAAACCACGGGTCCTTGGTAGGGACTCTGAAAAAGGAATAGATTCAAATCTTGAATTGTTATCGATAAGTAATGCTATAAAGTTTACATTGTTCTTTGTTTTGTTCTTTGTTTTGTTCTTTGTTTATGTAGTACTTGAACATTCATTCACATAGACAAAGTGAAGTCAGTCTTCACTCAGTGAAGTCAGTCAGTGAAGACAGACTTCTTTGATTTACATAGCGTTTCTGATTCAACTTCGACTTTAAGTTTAAAATAAACAAATGCGACATGAAATCAATTGATTTCGAAGTTTTTAGATCTTGATTTCTTCGCAAATTCTCACCTCATCATCAATCAAAGTTCATTTCTTTCACACAATCTAGCTTCTCTTTCCGATACATCCAATATAAAGGAATCAAATGTCCGACTGCTTTTTTCATTACTCGAGCCGATTTGATTACCTGAAATGGAAAAAATTTAGATCCTAGCCTTTCCAAAATACACTTTTGATATGAAAAAATACTAGATTTCAAGGGCAACCATTTGACACTCAAGCGCACACTGTAGCAAAAAGAAGCGCAAAGAATGAGACGTTCAAAGATAGACTACACCACTGGACGCCTGTCATTATTAGAATATCTACGATATATATATTGCTAATTGTGTAGTTAGCAATAGATATCCCGTAAATACTATTGCTAATCGATTAAAGTAAAAATGACACATGCAGATTTGACTCGAGTAATTTACTAATTATTTACTTTGCCGAGAAACACTCCTTCTAGTAAACATCTCGACCAACCTCTCCCCAATGTTCACGAAATTCGTTTGCGCTCCGATTTTCACCGGTTTCAACCCGGCTAACAGCATAAATTCGGAGTGTTGATTGATTGCCGGACTCCATCAATCACTTTTTTTTGTGGAAAAAACAAATGACTTACCGGCATTCGGATAACAAATAATCAACGACTCGCTGAAGTTGGACATTACCTCGATAAGCGGGCGCATCTCCCCGAGCGGCACCAAGCGCTGGTACCGCAGACCAGACAGCTATGGATTGACCTTGTCTGAATCGTTTTTGATCACCGAGTATCGTATTATTCTGTACTTTAGGGACCAGACAGCTATGCATTACCCTTGTCTGAATCGGTTTTTGATCAACTATATTGTACTATTTTGTACTTTGGACGGATACAGCTATGCATTGACCTTGTTTTTAACATTAACCTAGCCAAAAGCCAGTTTGACTTGAAACTAAACTCTC